GTTCTGTAAGTTTAGCAATTGTCTAATGAATATCTAGGTATGCTGAGGCTTGCACTGGGTATTTTAATTATAAATTATAGAGATGCCAGATCTAGCTGCACATTTAAATTTGAGTTTTGCACTTAACACAGGAATGCAACCACTTTATTACGTAGTAAAAATATAGCATTTCCTCCCATAAAATTACACTTTTTGAGAATATAGCAAATTTTTTGAGAATACAATAAAGTTTAAATGTATTTATTTTCAGAGGACTAGATCTGAACAACACTGTACAAAAGTGTTCAACACAAGAAATAAAGTATATTGCATACAGTTGAACAAATGGAGAAACTGTAGATAGACTGAAAAGTAAATTACTCAGATTAAAGCTTGTTCAGGACACTAGCACTTAACCCTCGACTTTTTAGACTTCAGTGATTAAAAATGGTTAAGAACTCCCCAAAAGATTTAAATCAAAAGCTCTGTAAATTATATCTTCTCCTTCCTGACCACCTTCAAATATTATGAAATACATAATAGTCCTCCAGCTTTCACTTGTATATAATAGCGTCTTCCTCTTATGTATACCAACTTGTTAGTCAAATCAAGCTGGAAAATTTATCTTCACTCTGATAGCACTTTTTAATATCTGTTTCACTTCTCACTGGTGGCCAAGCAAAACTGTTTTTAGGATGTTCATTTAAATTAGCATCAGAAACCATAAAACATCTTACTGGATTTCACATACTGAGTAGAGTCAAGATTGGCCATTACTTGGAGATCATCAGTGGAAGCCGAGGGAGTTGCAGGATGTCTTGTAGGTGAAATGATCTTTTGAATTCAGAAAGCAACCCAAGAGAAGCTTCAGAAAATAGTGTACTAGGTGAACTAAATAAAAAGAACAGATGCTAAAATCTTTAGTGCAGAAATCATGTTCTCATACACCTAGTGTATGAAATGAGGCCCTGATTATGATTGGGGATTTTGAGCACGATGGTAACAAACAACTGTATTTAATGGGTTGGAATAAAATATTTTTGTAGCTTTTACCTTCAGGCTATGACTACACTATGCGGAAGATCGATTGCTGTGATCGATTTTCCAAGGTTCGATTTAGTAGATGTAGCGGAGACCCAGTAAATTGAATTCAGAGGGTGCCCTCTTCGGTACCAGTGTACTCCTGCTCCTCATGAGGAATAAGGGAAGACTACGGGAACATTTTCTCTCATCGACCTCCCTCTGTAGGAATCTGTGATTCAAGATACTTTAGCTACGTAATAACGTAGCTGGAGTTGGAGATCTTAGGTCTTCCTCCTCCTCTAGTATAGACCAGTGTCTTGTAAGTCTGAACTACAACATTGTAACCTATTTTTAGAAGAAATAATCTGTACAGTGTTTTCACAAAACAAGTTCTTGAAACTGGATACCTATTTCCAAGTGCTAGTAATTTTTTAAGGCATCAAGATTTAATTTTAGTAGAATAACCCCAGGATAGATGACAGCAGTACATTGTAAAACACAAGGCAGTAATCTAATGTACATTTTCGCATTGTGGGGACAGTCATTATTTTACTAAAACCAATCGAAAAAAACCTGTCATTAATTTTTCAATAGGGGGAGTTTGCAGTATTGTCAACTCTCACAACTTTGTCATAAATCTGCTCATAGATTGTTTATTAAAGACCCAACTCATTAAGTTGTGTGCTTACATTAGAATTTTAATTTTCATTAAAAAAATAAGTTTCTGGCTTTCATGGCTGTGGAGAAAATTTGGAATATATGACACCAAATCGCTCACCAGAAAGCAAAAGAAAAGATCCCACATTTATTATTTTATAATTTCAGGATTTTAAAGTTAATTTCATGATTTTTTTGGATCTCTAATGGTTGTTGAATATGTGATGCTGGCAGTATTGGCATTTGCATTTACAATATATAATGCATCTGCGAGTGTATGTACGGTACAGACACAACATTTTGGACAGTATAAATGTTGTAAATTTTTATATATCAAAGTGTCTTTTCCCATGAGTCCAGTAATTTTACCCAGTTTGCTTCAGTTGTGTGAAGCATTCTTTTGCTTTAAGGAAGAGATTTTAAAAATCAGATATTTTGAAAATAAGAAAAGAAACACTTTGGAAAAGCATTGAAGACCACTGAAAATCAATGGGAATTGTGCTTCTCAGTGAGCTGGGTGCTTTTGAAAAACTTAGCTATAATAATTAAGTGCACTATGGAATGCACTTTATTAGGGGAGAAGACAAAAGTGCACGGTTGTTGTGAAAAGTTTGTAAGAAGAGAACATTAGCTCTGCTCCTTGCTCTCCTTTTTTCCGTATAACTCTCAAAAACTCCTCTGAGATCTCTGGATGGTGTTGTGGTTGTGAGGGAATTAGTGAGTGGAGCAAAGTGAGGGGAGGTGACCAAGATTGTGATCAGACTTAGCATAGTCTGTTCCTCTTCTGACTGCAGTGATGTTAAAGCAACTATCCTTGCAGACACGAATGCTTAGAGTAGCAGCACAATGAGGGCTGAAGTCCATGACTAGGACTCCCTCGTGTTACAGTTAACGCACTTATGCTAATAAATAAATTTCTTCATTTTTATTAGCTCACCTCCCCATTTACAACCAAGACCCTGCAAGCAAGAGTTGTAGAACATAATGGTTTATACGTAATTGTTAGGAAGCAAATCTAGAGGCAGCTTGGGTTCCCCAAGATCATGAAAACCAGCTGGGTTTGAGAGTGATACCTCTTCTATAACTGTGCAAAAAACAGAACAAAGTCACAGGCGAGAAATCACATCTATGGAAAATGGTGGTTTCTTAGTAATTTCCGTTTGCAGGTGCAGTAGTTTGCCTGTCATGGAGATGCTGAAGTGAAGGTTTTCCTAACTGGCACAGGGGAGAAAGCACCCTCTGGGTAACCTCTGATAGAAGCACTATTGACATTATTAATTATTATTACTACTTTGCCTACAACTTTCTCGTTTTTATTTGAAAATGCTGCCTTTACAATTTTATTAGACCAAATGTGCCCCCCCCGCCACCATTCTATGCCAAACAAACCAACCAACCAACTAATGGAGAAATTTTGATTCTGCTACTCCAGGAGGAAGCCAAATGCCCATGCACTATAGTAGTGGGTTGTGAGAGTAACTGCATTGTTTCTCTGTACATAATGTGAGGTGGAAGGTGGATCTGATTCTGTTGCTCATCAGCTTCCATGGGGTTTCCCTTCTGAAAAGTCCTTTAGCCTGGGTTTGCATTGGGCAGCAGGATTTGGCCCTTGGTTCATACGGTGTATTTTTCTTTGTCTTCACTTTCACAGAATTTTCTATGGTGGATTTTCCCTTTTTTTTTTTTTTTTTTTAAAATGGTGAAATAAACCACAAATGCTTACTCATGCTATAGTTTCAACATTTGACATTTTGATTGTTACAACAGTTAAGAACAGGGTTTGGTCTAATACTAATGTCCAAAACAATATTTGAAAGCCGATTATACTCTCCTCAAAACTTTACATATGCTTCAATGGATTTTCATTGTCAGAGAGGCAAGCTTATATTATACCATAAAATACAATAAAATGAGGATTACTTGGTCTTTAAACACTTGAGATAATTACAGCTGACAAGCACCTGTTTAAGGAAATGCTCTGAGATAAAAAGCTAAACAACAGTTCCATGAAGTTCTCAGTAGGAATTTTAAGTACACAAAATAGGTATCTGATTGTAAGTATTTATTGCAGCCCTGGCAATCCTTTCTAATAATAAAGATTGGAGCTGTCAAACGATGGCACAAATATCCTAATCCGAAGTGACATAGCTTTCTAGCCCAGTTCATCAATCATGTTTTATTAGCTTTAACAGAGCCAGGCTGCTGTCTGTCATTTAAATTTTGTAGTGGTGACAAAAACTGGTGCCGAAAATGTGCTGCAGGTGTAACTTTCACTCAAAGACTATTCCTAAGCAGCAAGTTAGTTTATATTCATGTGGGGAGAGAGTGCCATCTTCAGTTTCATGTGTCCATGTAAACCAGCTTTGAATTCTGATTTTTTTTTTTTTCCTGGTGGCAGAAAGTGAAATCCTTTATAGTGGTAGAACTCTGGAAATATGTCCCTTTTATTAAGAAAACCCGTGTGTGTGCACATACTCATTTTTAAAATAGTTTATTTAGACATATTGATTGTGACATAACCTGCATTACAATAAATGTCAAGAAATACGCTTTGTTTCCAACTTTTGGTCTATAAGAACATGTGCTGTAAAAAATAATAAAAATGGAGGAGGGGGCAATGCTAGTGCATACACAGAATACTAACAACCAATTTGTCATTTATTGTCTGCATAATACATGAACATTATTTTTATTTACCCTGTTGTATTTTTATTCTACCTTTTAAAGAACAATCATTATGTATATTCTTTAAGAATAGAATTGACTTTGTGGTGTTTGCATTGAGATTCTGGCATTTGACCTTTGGTTTTCTTGGCACTTTTTCACTGAGGATACTCCCTGTCTCTTGTTTCCAGCATGTTAACATATTCAAGTAAATATTATTTAGTGCAGTCACATACATTATTCTTGGGGAGGAGTCTTTTTAAATAGTTTTCAAGTCCAGATCAAACAATGGAATTCATTATCCTTGTGCCTGCTTTTCTTTTATTTATAAGATGAGTATTTTCTTGGCAAACGTATGTCCTTTGCCTAATATAAATCTTAGAATCTTTAAAGTATATTTTGCTACTTACAAATATAAATAGAGCTACCTTAATATACCTTAGTTACTTGCAGTTTGTAGGCTAAATTATTTCATTTCTATAATATTATATTTTAACACTTAAAGTTACTTCCTATATTAAGGAACAGATGTGTCTCAGTGACAGCAGGCAAGCAGAGACTAGGAAGGTGGTTTCATTAAAAGAGCCTTGGGATAAATGCAGCGCATTAGATGCCTACTGAAAGACAGGAGCTGTTGATGGGGGTGACCTCTGAATGCAAGTCATCTTACTATAAACAGAAGGGTGTGGAAAGCCATTGGTCAGAGCCAGCCTTGTTTACTATTCAGATCTCTTCTTAGTTAACTTAAATAACTAAACTGAGCTAGGCACAGTGACAGTTCAAGGGAGAACAAAGTGTCTTCAGTAGTTCCTGAATCGAAGACAATACTGCTGACTTACACAGAATTTCCTGGTCCTGGAACTGGCTGCTCACCTTATATGCTCTACAGTGGAAATTATTGGTGCTAAACATAACACAAGAATATTTTTCTGGAGAATAAATTTACACCATTGAGAATTTGTTTCAGTTCTTCCAAGGCAAATGAGGTAAGCTTTTGATGGATTTTAATGTCAGAGCTTGAAATGCATGTAGTTTAGTGATAAATTGAGAAATACTAGTGGGTACTATATACACAATGAGATCTTATTGCAAAAAAGGATATATTTTCTCCTCTCTAGTTGTTTTGAATTTGATTTTAACACAATCTATTTGGTAATAGTAGCTCTTGAGGGCAGTAGTTGAGCATGGAAATCATGAGTTCTTCAAACTCTCTTGTTGTATTTTTTCCAAAAGCTTCATTTTCCCTGTTATTCTTTAGGTTTTTTAGGAAATAAAGTGCAATGCAGGTCTGATACTTTAATCTATGAATAATTTATTGATTTTTCATACATTTAATTTAAGGCATCTTTAATGGTTAAAACATTGAGATATGTACTGATGGGAAATGATCATTTTTTCAGAGACTTAGAAATGAAATTCATTAACTACATTTGGCAGAAATATTTGTTTTCATAACTAATTATGTACGTACACCAAGTTAATTTATTTGGTCTCTATTGAATTTTAGTATACTTCTAACATCATCTGACAATTGTTTAAGAAAGAAGATGAAGAAGTGTAATTATACTAATGTATCAAACTAATTCTCCTCCTTTCCCCCCCCAAAAAAGTTAGCTTTTACTTTTCCTAGTAAACTTTTCTGAAGTGTTATATGACATTCGGGAGTAAATGTCTGGAGTTCATATTTGATTGTAATTTTACTGCTTGTAAAACCTTTGAGAACTTTTTCATGTGGTTTGTAATAACATAAATAGTTTCTGGAAAATGAGTTCTGACTGTAAAATGTTTTTTACATCGGTTCTTGCATAGAGTGCTGCAGTACACAACGTTCAAATGCAAAGTAGGAGGCGAGTACAGCAAAGCTATTGCTCTGCTGCATTCAGGGGCCATGATGTGAGTTGGCATAATGATTACTGCTTCTTAAATGTCCGTTTCATTCAAGAGAATCAGACAGGGTTTGCTGTAGGAGTACTGTTTTATTATCCTAGTAAAGGAAGCAAAGTTCAGGGGGGAAAATTACTTCTGTCCATCTGTGAAAATTGATTTACTGCTACAGGGAGCTGTATTGTTTAGGGAACCTGTTTTGAAGAAAGGTATGATAAATTATAACAGCCAATAAGTTCTTCAATTTAGTTTCTAGGGTCTGGTTAACAGCAAGCAGCAGTGTCCAATTACATGTTTCTTTTCTTAGATTGCTCACTATTTTATATAATACATTTCAGCTGAATGACTTTTAACTGTCTCAGCACCTTTTTTTGCCACTGTGATTTTTGTCTTCTAAACTAAATTAATATGCTAAAAAGGTATAGCAATAACTTCTTTAATTCTTGGCTTAAATATTAATTTTGCAAGAATTTTTTGAGAGAATTTTTAAGCAAGAATTATTTGGTTGCAATTGTTCAAGGCTTAGAAATATGTTTATATGGGACATGATTTCCTGAATTAAGTAGCATCAACCCTGTAGATTATAGTCTCCATGTGACCTTACATTATTTCCCCAAAACTAAATTTATGTATATAGAGAAAGTAATTACAGCTGTTAAAGAAATACAAAAGGCAAATGACTTCATAAATGTATGTTGAACAAGATTTAATAACTGGTCCAGGCATTTTGTAAAATGAGCAAGCAAATAAGAGAATACGGTATATCCTGATTATAATTTATAGCTATGCTAATACTGTATAACCTGTTCTTTCTTTATCTTCTACTGCTTTCTTTCCTTCCTCAGGAATTAATACGGTCTTTGGGTTGCTTGAAAATGGCAAGCTGAAAAAAATTAACATTGTTTAAAATATACAGTTTGGAATTTCAGAATAAATGCTTCTTTATTTGTAATTGTAATTGCACTATGATATATTTTAATTAAAACAATAATAGTATTGTTATGCTACATTTGTATATACTGTCATGTATATACAAACTAACTAACAAACAAAACAATAATGGATAAAGCCTAATAGAAAAATACATTCCCATAGAACCTTAGCAGGAATTTTTTAATTCATGTATCACCGCCCATGTTCCATATGATCTCTGTTAAAGTAATATTTAAGAATTAGCTTAAAGTTGTACTTCTAAGAAATACAGTATAGTTTATAAGAAAACTCTAAGACAGTGTCCTGAAATATGAGAATTTGAAAAACTCTATTATACAATCACTTTTTTTCAAAGGATTCATTTAATTCTTTTAAAAGGCATTGATTAAAAGTAGCATATTCAAATAGTTTATATAGAATTGAAACCAAAACATCAATAAAATTTCAAAATGATGGAATTCGGAAAAAAAAACTATCTCTGGCAATTAAATCTATCTTGAAATCAAAAGTGTAGAATGCAAACAATTTTAAAATGTCTTTTATGCTCTATGATTACCTATTCTCTGTATTCTTGTATGTATTTGAATGTTTTGTATTCACATAGAATTTTGATATATAAAAGTTTGCTTTTTAATCAAATGAAAAAAGATAGAAGGTTTTGTTACAGCTTTAAAAATCAGTCTGATTTTTTTTTTTTTAAGTTGCAGAAGTAGTTATATTGTTATACCAGGTAAGCTCTGCATTCAATTAGAGTCAGGACTGGGGAGCAAATATACATTATGCTGAATGTTCAAAACGTTAGCTCCACTAAAGCACAATTTAACTTGATTGATACTTCAGTTTTAAAGCAAATAAGAGCTAATTTTTGCCCGTGGCAAAAAATCTTTGAAGTTTCATGCTTGTGATGAAGCTGGATTAGTTAAGTGGTAGAATTCTGGCTTGGATTGGTGACCCTGTTGTGCTTGGCAGGTTGTGATAAATGGGAGAATCTTTCTTAACCTTGTGGCCAAAACATTCCAACATCTCATGTAGAAAAAAAAGATGTGGATGTCTTTTCAAGTTAAGTTGAGAAGGAGTCTCTTTTTTCTGATTAAGGGATGAGTATGAGTGCAGACTGTGTTTATTTTCTAAAGTACTCAGTTACGCTTGAGAACACTGTGGAAACAACTAATGCATATAAATGGCCACATACTTTTATCATTGTTACATATTCAGTGGTCAAGCTGTCAGAAACACATCCTTTAATATTAAACTGTATCGTTTTTGTTTTACACATTTTCACGTTCATAATCCTAGTTGTTCTTATACTTGCAAAATGGCAGTAGTTTGCTTTAATGCTAATTGCATTTATAAAATAGTTCAAAATAAAGTGTAAGGATTCCTGATGTAAAATAATTGCCTTTTCGTTAAACAATATGTGGTAGAATTGAAAATATGAACAAAATAGAACAAACACCATAAAGTAATTACAGTTGGAAAGTTTGTCAGTAGAGCACTTTTGAAGGATATATACTTTTGGCATGAAAATATCTGTCCAAAGTGTTAAACCTGGACATATTAGTGTAAATCAACAAACCAGTTAAATTTCCAAACCTAAAAAAAGAGAGTAAGAGAAATACTTACGTATGAGCTGAAACATGATCTATCAAAGCATCTTGTGGTTCTTTCTGTGGTATTTTAAGTGCTATATTACCTCAGATGTAGTCCCTGTTGACTAATAATGAAAAGTATACCATTAGTTGATGCTCTGAGATTTACTTACATATTTCATACTGTAAATACAGATATTAGTGCTGGTGTCAAAGAGCTATCCCACATTTTAAAAAACCCCACAGTGGTAATAATTTCTTAACTATGACATTATTTTGCTATATTACTTCAATATAAATGCACAAAAATAAATAATAAAATAAGCAAACGATCTGCCCTATTTTAGCGTGTTCCATGTCAGCAAGAGTTGGTTGTGTATCCCACTGTGCATAATTAAGAGGAATCTATATGATATTTATATTTTTTATATAAATGTAAATTGTAAATAACGTAAATGTTCCCGCAGCATGAGATTGGTGCCTATCCACTGAATGATTAACATCTTAAGTCAAATTACAAAATACAAATAAAATATATACCTTGTAGCATTTAAAACCTACAATTTAAAATCTATAATATATATACCTTATAATATTTAATATCTGCAACATATCATAGGCTTATGTATGTGTGTATTTATTGGAGAATACTTTTCAACCTCCATTCCGGTGAGTCTTTGGGCATTGTTGTTAAAGGGAAAATTATTCAGAGTATTTTGATTAATTAAGCACTCTCAAATATTTTTCAAAAATAATTTATTTCCCACAATCTGTGATAGAATAGTATAACACACACTATTTGTCCTTGCACTAGATCTATTTCTCCTATGAGTTTTTAATTATTAAAGTTTAGTGTGACTATTAGTGAATGTACTTTTTTATGAGTAAGGATATGTGTATGGCTTAAGAAAGGAGTTATATTATGTTACTTAGATATAAGTTTATTCAGCAATGGATTTTTAATATATTTACTGGGAATAGTTTGACATTTTCAGTTATCTGACATAGTTTATTTATTTGACAACAGGTGTAAGAAATTGTTATAATACTAAACAAATTAGTGTCATTAGAGGGTAAGAACAGAAATATATCAAACCGAAGGAAAAGGACAGCTGTATACTTCTTTTGCACTGTCAATGTACTTGGTAATTTTCTAGATGGAATATAATACGTGAATATTTATTACTTTCTCATACCTGTACCACTTCCATATTTTCCCCTGTGCTGAACTCCATTGATTGTTAATATAGCCTTCATATAAATTTTAAGTGTTTTATAGAAATGTTTTTGTTGTTCTCCAAATATGTAAATACTGTACAGCATCCATTTCAGACAACACTCATAAAAATAGGAAATTCCAAAGTTATGAATTTAAAAAAAATGTTGTCTCCTCCAAACTCCTCCATATCAAAGGGGCTGAATGCCCACAATTCCCATTAAGTGGTGTCTAAAAATTAAGTTTGGGCCAATAGTGTACAAAGGAGTGTATGTTAATAGGTCAATACTTCTAATCCTACAGCAGGTCCTATACCTGTATCAAATTTGTACTGTTCTGTTGCTCTACTTTGTCCTCCTTCAGA